TGCTACGTTAAAAAGAATGGATAGAACTGAATAGAAAATGTATTTTTGTCTGTCCTATAGGAAGAATTGCATATTTTTGAGGTTATTTTTGCCATTTTTAAACAAAACTGTATTTCACTTGTTTTTTTTTAGTGTGTTTTCTGACATTCATGCTTGGGGTAATTTATTTATTTATTTTTACAGTAAAGGTGAGCTGGTGTGCAGAGTTGCAGCGAGTGGGGGGTGCTTAATAGATCTGTACATTTTAGAGGAAGCAAATATGTGCACTTCTCTTTAAGGCAAGATGAGATTATTTTTATTGGAAAAAACATCTAAACATGTCACTTTGATACACAGAGATGAGCTTTTCTGAGTTTAATCAGAGACTGGAGAGGAGCTTTAAGCCTTATTATTCGGTTTATATTTTATTGAATGCATATGTGAGCTTTTATTATTTGTTTTACGTACAAATAAGTATTTCTTCCAAACTTTACTGATAATTTTAACCCTGACAGACCTAAAGGCGGCGCACGGTCATGACGTCACGTGTTTTTATAGAAATCCGGAAGTGATACGCGAGTTGTAATCTGATTACAGAGCAGCTAAGCAGAGTTACGTACAAAGACATGAAGTGTGATTGAAGTGATTAATTTCTATCCTGTGGAGGGCAGTAATAGCGTCCACGGCGCCTCAGAGGAGGAGGAGAAGGAGGAGAAGAAGAAGAAGAAGAAAACGGTGCGCTGGTCTGTAAGATGGTGTATTCTGACCGTTAGACAGGTGAGACATTACAGGTGGACGCTGCGGGATGGAGACGGCCTGACAGTCCCACAGGAAACATGGAAGTTTGTTTTCTGCGCGGTTTGCTGCTCGTCTTCCTGACGGCTCGGACTTTGGCAGACGGTGAGTGTTTTCCAGGAGAGAGGACGGAGTCAGGCTGTTAGCATGTTAGCATGCTAGCTAACAGTCTGTGGCTTGTTGAAGTTACCTGAGCGGCAGAGACTCGCTGTACGAGCTGTTTTCTATCAAAACTACCCGTTCACAGCCGGTTTTAAAGTCGACTGCACGTATTTACCCTCTATATCTTATTCTACATCACTGCTGATTGTTTGTTTAACTCGGTAAAAGTCAGCAGCAGAGTGTTTTCACCGGTTATAGAGCTAAGTTTAGCTTTCCAGATCGATTTATTTTGCCTTGTTTTATTCTGAATGTGCAGCTTTGTCGCTTTTCCTGCTTGAATTTGCATCTGTTCATCTGTCTGGTTTAAAATCTGTGGTGTATAATTCATGTTTAATGAATGTGTGTAGCATTTATTCTTAGGTTAGGTTAGTTATTATTAATCCTTTACAGGAAATGACTCTATTACAGCAGCTACATTAAAACACAGACACTACACTATACAGTGTAAAATAAAATAATAAAAAATAAGATAAATGAAATAGGTACCCGGTGTGCAAATGTTAGCATGTGCAAAAGTATGCACTTAAAGTGTCAGGCATGGGATTTTTATTGCACATAATAAAGTGTGATGGCAGCGTTCAGTCCTGCATCTTCAACCTCATGTGATTCACTTTAGGTTCATCTACACTGAACGACAATGTAAGTGCAGCATGTAAAAGATCTCCTTTTCTGACGCAGAGAAAACTCTAACAGACTTGATTTCTGTTGGTCTGGTTAGTAAAGGGTTCAATTAAGCCAATTGTGCAATACAGGTTTTTTAAGTTATTGAGGTAGTGACACATTTTCGATCCACGCCCTCATCTGGTGTGGCTTTAAAGGACGGTAATCAGAGAGTGACCAGTACACGGACACTCCTTTGACCCGTGGCTGTAAAGATCCATCTTAAAATGCTGACAGGTGAAAGACGAGAACAGGCTGTTGTTATGCTGGATGCTGGTATGTCAGTTAGAGTCGTAGCCAGGCATCCGGATGTCCACCATAAGCATGATGGATGTGTCTGTAATGTTTGCCAACTCCACCAAACCCTTCAGGAACACTGGGACGCCGTTCCACAAGCAGCATCAACAACCTCACCACCTCTGAGTGCTGCAGATGTGTGACACTAATGCAGATGGTGGACACACTCTTTAATGAGTTGTGGTTTTTGGTCTGTGACTCCACTCTCCATCTGCCCCCGTAATGATTTCCAATAGAGTGCCCACTTGGTTGTTTCATGACGTCCGTTCAGTTTGTAGAGATGCTGTGTGATGGAATAACAACTACTTACACCGTTATGTTATAAGGGATGGATCGAATTGAATAGAAAATGTATTTTTGCCTTCATATTTCCTATATTCCTATCATCTCAGAGCATTTCACATCCTAAGGTGAAGACTTAGAATTGTATATTTTTGAGGGAAACCCAACAAATCCAACGATCCCGCCTTCAAGAAGCCGTTTGGCAGCTTTTACTAGGAAGAAACCGTCTTGCATAACCAGTTTCAGGAACAACAGCCATCTGCCCCAACCGGTTGGGATGAGGGTGGGAAGTTTATGATGCCAGTAACCGCATATCAGAAAAGTGCAGCTCTGGAGCCAAAGATACCTGCAGAGAGGACAAAACACAAACCACAGGAGACAAGTTTGTAGCATGCAGTAGTGGTATATAAATCTACAGAGAGGTGCATCATGGGAAGTTTTCCAGCAGCTTGGCCTGATTTAAGGTCACTGGAGGCAGCGAATAACTGAGTTTTAGAAAAAAAAAAGGAAAGAATCCTATTGAAACATAAAAGATCCCATTTCCTTCAGTGTCTTCCTTATTTGTAGCACATTACAAATACAAAATGGAGCCCAAGGCTTTAACTAATGATTGTTTCCAGTGTTGATTAATCTGTCAGTTATTTTCTCAATTAATTACTTAGTTGTTTGTTCTCGAAAATGTCAAAGAAAATCGTGAAAAATGTTGGTTGGTGTTTCACAAAGCCCAAGACGATGTACTTAAATGTCCTGTTTTGTCCACAACGCAAAGATATTTAGTTTATTGTCACAGAGGAGGAAAGAAAACAGCAAATATTCATTTAACAAGCTGGAATTTTGACTTTTTTCGTAATCAAATTGATTTATTGAATAATTGAATAGTTAACAAATCAGTTTTTAATCAAATGTGTAGAAGCACAAAAACAGCAAATCAATGGCATCTGATTGTGTTTTTATTTCCAGTATAATTCTAGAAAAATGCATCCTCCATGGGGAAGATTCATTTTTTTAGAACATATGTCTGTATTTGAGGCTAACTTGACAGCAGATGAAGAACTGTGTATTTTAATTTGATGAAAGCCTTTTCCTTGACAGATGGACAGCTGACCTTTGCGTCAGAGCTCTCATCCAAACCTGCTCAGAAGTTGTCCAAGTACGGCTGGTACGGCAGCGTGAGGCTGCAGAGGTTCCACATACCGGAGGAGACGGCCGTCGCTCGCTGGCTCTTCTCTGTGACCAAGGGCCACAACTTCAACTGTGGACAGCACAACGTCACCATGTAAGATATGAAATCATGAAATGTCTCCAAAGTTTCCCTGTGAATCAATTTTGAAATTACTGCCTCAGCTCAACCAGCTAATTTCACCTCTCTCTGTATTGTGTAGCCACATCCGATGGGGCGCCCCTCCAGTTATAAACCCAGTAGCGTCCGTGTTTCCCAACTCAACCCTTTGGAGCCCCTGTTTGTCTCTGACTCTGCCGGTAACGTCGCAGAGCTCCACAACGTTCAACATCTCAGACCCTGCTCCGGGCGACTGGTACGTTGCTGCTCACCTGCCTGAAGATGACGGGCGCATCGAGCAGAAGGTTTGTACGCAGCTGGAGATGGTTCATGCTTGTTTTGGATGTCCTGCTTTGGCTTCATTTTCCATCTTTATGCGGTTGTGCTCCTTGTGAATTAACAATGCTGCAACTGTCATGAAGAGCACTTTGAAGAATTTAACTGATTTTTTTTTTTTTTTACCTAAATTTGACCAAGCATGTATAGTGTCGTGTCCAAAAAAAAAATGTTTTGCAGTGAACGGCCAAGATAATTTGTCAGCTCTAGTCGGTAAATTTCCTATTTGCCGCAACCTGTTTAACAGGAGCAGAGGGGAGGTGGATTGTTTTGTGTGTACTGTCACTAAACCACATTCTTGTCCTTCCTCCGATTCTTTGGCTCTTGGTTATTGCTGAGTTGCTGCTGCTGGCAATGTGGTCTTGTTTAGCTGGTTGAAAGCAAAAATTCTACTTTATCTGAAATGCCTGTGTAGTTTTCTGTGTGTGCATTGATTGATGTTTTTCTATTCAAGTTTATTCATATGTCTTCATAACTCAAGTCATCTTGGCACTTCTCGTATTTCGGTGAAGATCTTATAACAGTATGTTATAGAGAGAAATCCAATGATTCCCTTCGAGCAAGCACCTTGTGACAGTTTCTCATTGTTTTGCTGACCACCTTTTGTCTGAATTTTTATTCTTATTAACCTGTTAACGCTTAAAGCTGTTCTAATCTGTATGAAGAGAACTGTGCACCAGAATATCTGCAGATATTAATTTGTTGTTTCTCTGTTTCTCGTAGGGCTTTCCGTCCTGCTCCTACTTCTTCCAGCCTCAGCTATCGGTCAGGAGAGCTGTAGACACACCTGTTTTACAGCAGGGCACATTCCTAACACAGACTGCAGCCCCTGACAGACCTGCACGCCTTAAGTAAGAAGTGTTCATGTGGTCAAGGTTCATTTCCTGTAGCTCCGCTCATTGTGCTGTTGTTTGTATTTTTCTATCAGTCAACAGTGAGCGCATTGACTGTATCTGCACGTTTCTCTGCAGGTTGTATGTTCCCGAGTTTGTCTCGTCTCTCTCGGTCTCTGTGGCTGACTGTTCGTCCGGGGAGGGAGCAGAGAGTGGAAACTGTTCGCTGGTCCTCAGGCTGGGTTCTGCTTCTCTGCAGCACGGCCCGGTAACAGTGAACTGCTCAGGGATTGGCTGCTCTGCTGCTCTCTCTAACCCTCCATGGCACACATGGTTGAGGGTTGTCGTGGAGAGCAGCCAAGTCAACCGTACTTTGACCTTTAGTATTGTCTCAAACTACACAGGTAAACACACACACCTTAAACGGATGTTTCACACTCTGTGTCTCGGCTCTAATCCTCAGCCTGTGTGTCCTTCATCTGTGTGTTTACTTCAGTGGGATGTAAGCCAAAAAGTGTAGGCCTTAAAGCGGATGATGACATCAGCAGGCTCCGTGGCAACAGCAGCTATACCAACTCGACATCAGCAGGCAACAGCTCAGCGGTTCCAGACGCAGCCGCCTTCAGCAACGAATCCGCATCGCTGATGACGCCGCTGTTGGCGTCGGCGTGCGTGTGGAGCATCCCGGTGCTGTACGAGGAGGTGGACGTTCTGTCGATCCGGTTCACCCCCGTCACCGGACCCAACATCAGCGTCACGAACACACACCCCACACTGCTCACCTACCCCCTGCTCTCACAAGCCACCGGCGGCACCCTCAACCTGCAGCTCACACTCAACTCTGTAAGTGACACCCAATCACTACACTACTCTCACGCAGTTAGATCTTGGAGTCACAGAGGGAAGCATTCCTGCTGTTCTGGCTTTGATTCATGTGGGTGTTTGATGTGTTTGTAGACTAATGCCACCTTGGGGAACAGCAGCAGCGTGGTTGCTTGTCTCTCTCCCTGGGCTCCAGTCACTGAGCTGAACCACTCTCAGCCTTGTCGCACAGGTACGGAAGCGCTGATTCAGGTTCACACACGGGAATTAACACATTAATCACCCAAAAATAGCAGCTGCGACTTCATTAATTAGGAAACACAACAGCAGAATCGCAGAAAATGTGATGCGTTAAGACAGGAAGTAACATCAGACCGGTGATAGTTCAGGTTACCTTAACTTTATATAATGCAAAAAAAAAGTTTAGATTCATTTAGATGTTTTGGGGTTTTTTTGTTCCATCTACTAGGTGCTTGTTGGGATCAGTTCAAGCTATAAACTGTCTACAAATAAAAGAGGATGTTCCCATTGTTCAAAAAAATAAGCCAAAATATTTCAATCTATCCTTTAAATCAGAACTGCTTGCAAATTACATCATCAGTGCAAGATGGCAGAGCTCATTTTTCTGCTAATTTGGCTTTAATTTTCATTTGGCTCCTCACAAAACAACAAAATCTCCACTATTGTGACGTCCATCTTTATACACAGTCCAGATTTTTAGCTCTGATATTACTTTGTCATGGTACAAATTCCAGACACTTATGAGGAAATACAGTCACTTCAGAAAGTATTCACACCCCATAATATACACTCACCAATCAGCCACAACTTTAAAACCACTGACAGGTGAAGGAAGTAACACTGATGGTCTTGGTACAGTGGAACCTGTTAAGAGGTGGAATACATTAGGCAGAGAGTGAGCAGTACAAATATGACAGTCGTTAGAGTGTTTTTTTCCATTTAGAAATAAATCTACAGCACAACTAACATGAAGTGCTCTGAAAGCTTTCTAAGCTAACTGTAGGCCTTGTTTTGGTTGACAGTGTACCCTGAACACTAGAAAATAACATATAATCATTGGTTCATCCACAGCTTTGTTTGGAGGCTACAGTGTTGGTGTGAATGCCAGCGTTAATAAAGCTGTGCTCAGGCTGCCTTTTCCTCAGTCAACAACATGGTACCTCACTCTGCAGGTCGTATGCAACAGGTAACACACACACACGTTGGTTCTTATGTTTCTGGACCGTATTACTGTACTTGAAGTCAAACTATGTGTTGACTTTGTAAACACAAGCTTCATCTGTGCAGTAAAAGCAACAATTTTAGGATTACAGTGATTTAAAGTGCAGAAACTATACTCTACAGAAAACATTAAGATGATCACATTTGGGGATAAAATTTCTTTCCATTTCTGCCAGTGAGTCTGAAAGCTTTCCTACATTAGGAGATGGTTAGTCTGCATTTAGAGGTCTCACAGTTTTGAGTTTGCCGAGGTGTGGTTAGTGCTTTTTGTGTTTAACGTTGCTCAAATGTGTGCGTTTCCTGCAGCAGTAATTGTGGTAACACATCGGTGGTGTCGGTGGTGCCGGAGGTGTTCATCAGCGCCTGTGTGGAGGACTGTGGGACGTACGGTGAATGTAGACTCCTGAGGTCCTACAGCTACCTGTATGCTGCCTGCGTCTGCAAGGCTGGTACGACACACACACAGAAACACACAGATGCTCTTAAAGTCGTACTAAAATCACTTTCACTTTAGCTCAAGTAACGCATGTCCTCCTTCTGTCCTCTGCTGTTATTATGGTCGTGCATTCATTTGCCGTTGCTTTTTGTGTGTGTGTGTGTGTGTGTGTGTGTGTGTGCGTGCAGGCTGGAGTGGTTGGGGCTGCACCGATGACTCAACAGCTCAGTCTTACCGCCACCAGTTGACATCAACGTTGCTGCTCACGCTCAGCAACCTGTTTTTCCTGCCCGCCATCGTGGTGGCCGTCAAACGCTGCTACATCACCGAGGCCTCCGTCTACCTCTTCACCATGTTCTTCTCCACGGTAACGCACTCAAACATGTGGAGATGCTTTCTACATTACGGCTGTGTTTCTGACTAAAGCGACTGATGTTTCTGGTGTCAGAGGGAAGTGTCGGGGAATAAAAGCAGCGGCGACTCCTATGGTTTGTTTAGAGCTCAGGTGCTGCCAGCGTTTGATAGGGTCGTTGCAGTTTTACTCTCCGGTCTCATATTGACACGGTGTGTGTGTCACATGCAAACAAGGAACCAGAAGTGCAATTAAACAATAACGACACTGTGGTGCTATTAATAGAGTTTATTAGGTATTGCTCTTTGTGTTAGACACCCTCTGTTACAGATTAATACACACCTGTTGTGTGTTTGTGTCTATAAGGAAAGCAGAGCAACCAGAAAGTGAACATTAATGTTTGTTTGTTTTTTTCCTGACTGAAGAACAGTGTCGAAGCATTCAGTGATTCCTCATGTTTTTGTCTGATATGTCCAGTTCTACCATGCTTGCGACCAGCCCGGTGTAGCAGTGCTGTGTATAATGGACTACGATACGCTACAGTACTGTGACTTCCTGGGTTCGATCTGTTCCATCTGGGTCACCATCCTGTGCATGGCCCGCATCAAAGACGCATTCAAATATGTAAGACACTGACTACAGTCTCCTCGTCTGCTGTACTGTTGTCGTACTTTGCTCAGGGTTTGATGTGTTTTAACGTTAACATTGTTGTCCGTTTAGACTCTGTTCATGCTCGGCGCTCTGCTGATAGCCATGTCAATGCAACTGGACCGCAAAGGCCTGTGGAACCTGCTGGGTCCGATCCTCTGCGCCATACTGTTCATGGTCATCGTCTGGGTACGAGACACACCAGGAACTGATGGATTTCTGTGTAGTTAAAGACTGTGTCCATGATTTCATGATAATAATGATCAGAAGAAGAAGAATACAGTCATGACTCGATAATGCAACCCTTAACAATCCTAAACCTTGCTATCCGACAGGTTTTTAGGAAAAACGAATGGAACCCATCAAAAGCAGCCTTAACATACCGACAGCCTTGGATTCTGACTCCGACATGACATTTTATGTCACAAATAAGGATGACCCCAAAATCTAATCAGAGGCCATTCCTGGCTCATCTGTAAAACATCAACTTGTTAGACTTCAGCACTCGAGCTCCAGACTGGTCACAGACGGACACACAGATGGGACCGATTTCTCTGTAGTTGCCTCCAGTAAGGGTACAACTACAATAATAAATGTTACTCTTCTGTCCGCAGGTGTATCGAGGGGTCCGTCGACGACATTGTTACCCGCCCTCCTGGCAGCGCTGGGTCTTCTTCCTGATCCCAGGAGCCCTCTGTGCCCTAGTCGGGGTATGTTTGTACATTTTTGCCGAGACGGAGGACAACTACTATTACACACACTCGCTGTGGCACATCCTGGTGGCCAGCTGCGTGGTGTTCCTGCTGCCGCCGAAGGAGAAGGACCGGGAGGCGCTGGGCTGGAGCCGAGGCTGGAGCTGGAGCTGGAGCTGGAGCTGGAGGCCTCGGGTTTGCGGATATACGCTCTGTCAGAGCGGCAAGGACGAACTCTACACTGTCACATAGTAGAGCAGAAGACGCTGTGAAGAAGCAAAGTGTCGAGGTATTGATTCCTAGACTGCACTATGAAACATTCACATACTTTAGAAGTACATGGGACAATCAAATATTTCAGAGTCTGTGCCTATGAAAAGCAAAAAAACTTTAAATTTAAATTTGGCTGCCATCCCCTCTGATGTCGTCACTTAATGTTGAAACTCTTCCACCGTGTCACTCTTCACCTTGAGAATTTAAATTTGGGGAAGAGGAAGCAGTAGCAGGGCTCTGGCCAGTAGAGCAGGTGACGAGTGATGATTGAGGTAAAGAAAAATCCTCTTTGAATGATGCCAAAACTGCTCCAACACACCACAGGTCAGGTTAGTCGCACCAGATGTTTTCCCTGAGACGCCTTCAGACGTAGAGCTCTGCATCGACAGTCTGACTCTGGGAGACATGGTGCACGATAACGCGAATGTCAACGTAGAGCATCCTCCTCCTGGAGGCTGTGGGCTCCTCCACAGCGAAGACGGCTGTTTGCTCTGTGGGTCGTAGCTGCAGACCTGCCTCGTTCGCTCGTCCCTGCCTGGTGATAGTGGTTTTTTGCAGACTTTGCCTCGGTGCTGTTTTTGGAGGAATCACAAATGCAAACCAACAAGTGGTCTCAGAAACATGCACAACATCGTGTGGAATCCTGACTCACCGGCGTTACTGGTTGAATGACCTTGTTGCGCTCTGCTGGTGCACAACAGGAACAGAGTCTAGTGTTTTCTGATCGCACCTCACATAGGGGGCCTGCTGGTGTTTTATCTTTAACAATCTCCTCAAAGTTCCTCTTTATTAATATATTTTAAAATCAAACTCAGATCTATATTCTCATAGATCTACGGCAAAGCTCTTCGTATATTGGTTTTCTAAATTAAAACGACCAACTTGCAGACGTCCTGAAACGCTCCACTCAACCCAAAACCCAACCTGCTGAAACCTCCGCGGTGGTCCAGAACATCTTCAGGAAGCCGACCACCTGACCTTTGACCTCACGACCAGGAGTTTGTGCATATTGTGTATGTACGTATTTTACTAGAGTAGGAAATGAATGTTTGAACTATTTATAAGGGACAATAGCACTTTGTGGAACTCTTTATATTCAGCCTATCATGGAGTCTACTGATATGTTCTATTTACAGCTGATGCAAACTCTCCTCCCTCTTGTATTTTCCTGTTTATTTTTATTTTTCCCACAGGTCTGGGCAAAAATTTGAAGCTAGTTTTTGATCCATTTAAGATGTGCTTGATCTTTAACTGCCAGGTAACATCAGTGAAAGTACTTGTTTTTCCAGAGTTTTGACACTCTGTCATGTGGTCTTCCCTGCACGATGCAGAACAAGAGAAACCATCGTATAGAAACCATTTAAAACTCTCAAACTACTCCTTTGCCAAAGTCACATTGATCATGCCTTCACGTTGTGTCATTAAAGGGTCCCTCAGTGATCTAGCACGACGTTTCTGTTGGACAGAAACACGTCATAAACACTGGGTTACAAAAAAGTATTTTTTTTGACGGTGTCTAGGATTTTTTTTTAACTGATGTAGGACATTTTTGCAACACTGAATCCAAAAATGACATCTGCTTTTCTGTATCAGGTCCGGTTTTTATGCCAATCGATTACATTTTTTGACACTAGCAATTGATTTATTTTAGTATTTCTCATATGAAATCGGAGTTAAGAGGAAAAATTTTCTTTTTCTAATCCTTTTCATAAGCTAAATGATCCAAACGTTGATGACATTGGTAAAGGTAAATACAAGCAAATGGCATGTTTCATCAGCAGTGCTCAAAATTCAGGGCTTGAACTTCTTGGAACTCCTCGAATGATCAGCAGCAGGTTTATCTCTCTTCAGAGTCCAGCAGTGATCAGCCACCATGACTGCATCCCAGCATCCCTGATCCCTGGTCTCCATCTCTTTCTGATAAAATCACGTGACTCTAATGCGTAGTTCATAAACCAGGGGGTAAACTTTCTGTCTAGATTTAATTCACCTTCAAACATTTATCGTATCAACTTGTAAAGGTTTCAGAATTTGTTCATTTCAGGAACTAGAAAAAGAATTGTGTACGATACAAAGCATAGACACCTGCACATGCACACAGAAATGAAAAAAAATTTTAAAAAGTGCATGTGGCGACAAATCAAAGTTTTGACCTCATTGTGTAAAACCAGTGTAATGTTTGGATTCAGCACATTGCAACTGTCCATAATCAGCTCAAAAAACGTTGACACCAACATAGCCCAGTGTAATATTATAAACTTCTGTATTCTGGCGCCTACATTAGCATCGATGCAACGCTGGCGGTTCACCCACTGGTTCTGGGTGAGTAGCAACCAGTCATAAACCGTAATCCTGTAGCAGAGACGAGGCTCCACCGGTCTCACATCTTTATTCCTGCACATCCTCAACTGACGCCGACTCATTTGAGGCAGATTATTATAGTTTGCTTCGTTCCCTCTGGAGCCACAGAAGGCTTCACACTACTTCTAGACCAATTTTAATGCGTAGAATCCTGTGCACTACACTTTCTAACCACTGTCCAGCTGTGAGTCAGAGGCTCAGCTGTGAATGTGGAGAAACTTCATTGTGCAGGAGGCCTCTTCACTAAGCTCTGAAGCCTCTTCTCTTGTCTGTACTGTCGGATCTCCTCCTCACTCCGTCTCGAGCGTCTCACCAACACTCATCCTGAAGCACTTTTATGATTAGAAGCTGATAATGTAATGTACATAGTCTGTATGTGTGAATCAGCGCTCGATGAATGTATACCCAGACGACTGTTTAGTGCCTCCTGTTTATCTGTGTCTGTGCCTGTCTCGTCACTTTCCGTACTTTATTTTGACATCCACTGTAGCTCACTATAATTGTTCCATATTGTGGTGATTATTTTTTGTGATTTTGCACATGTTCAGACTGGACGAACCGTCGGCCCGGCCTTTCTTTCATCGTTCTTGTTGTATTGTCCTGATTGTGAATCACTTTATCTCACATGTTAGTGTGAAGAGGCGTCCTCGTCGTCTGTATGGAAGAGTAAATGTACCGGACGATTACTTTTCAATCTGTTAAAAAAGATCCAAACAGCATTTAGTCGACCAAAAAAAATAAAGCCGTTGTATCAGGAGAAGTGTTTCCTTTGTTTTCTTTTTATGTCGACGTGGTTTCGTTGTCTTTCACACCAGAGAGAGAGAAAAGGAGAACAGAGGGAAGCAGATTATCGTAATCCTCAGAAATGCTCAGAAGTGCTTGTGTTCTGATGCACATTTCTGCGTATGTGTGAACGTGTGTTTGCTTGTGTTCCCATACAGAGCTGACCTCCATTAGTAAATTTGATGCTTCCACTAAGCTCGCGGATCACACAACATCAAGCTTAGCTGCTTGGGTTTCATTGTGTGTCGACTGAAACGAGTGTTGAAACCGGTGACAGGTGAAGTGAACAACACTGATCATGTGAGGAATTTACATACATGTAGCGGTTGCTTTGACGTAGGTCAGACCAGTGGCTCGCTGACGGCTCCAGGTGGTTCTAAAGCTGCAGCTGATCAGCTGTATTTAAGTTTTTTTTTGTTTTTAATTTTATAAAATAGGGGGACTTGCAGGATAGATTGGAAAAGTAATTACTGAAACCAGGCCTTGACTTTTAGAGTCTGGTTTGAGTCGAGCTTCAAAATCCTGTAAGTGTCACATTCAGGGAAGCTTCACTGAGATTTAACAAACATGTGAGACCCAGTCGTCTTCAAAGGCTAAACTGTGCTCCTCCTGACAAGCAGGCTGACATTTCTGGATAAAATCACGGAGTGCTGCCTTAATCACAAGTTTTAACTGCGATTTAAGAAAAATAATGTATTATTAGTTTACAGATTATTCCCTGTTTTCTTAAATTGCAGATTATAACCAGTAAAATCACAAAAAAAGTAATAATTTGCACACAATCCCTGAAGGAAAAGAACTGTAAATAATTTCCACATCAGAAACGGTAATTATTTGACCACATTTGATTGTGAAATTACCCAATTTTTACTGTATTTAAGTCATCAAAACAATGATATTTTACAGATGTTTTCTGTTATTTGGATGAAAAAATTATATAAGGATTGAAAAATTGTTATTTATTTATACAGTTATTTTACTGATATTTGCTGTTTTTCAAAAAAAAAAAATTTAAATAAGGTCTACTAAAATGCAGAAAAAATAAGTATCAGTTTAGGAAAAAAGAAAAAAGAAAAGAAAAAGCAGACTGAAACTTTAAACATTATCCACATTGAAATTCTCAATTTTTACAGATTGTAATTTCTTATTTTACAGTTGTGGCTCCAAAATTGTACTTTATTTAAATTCACTGAAACTAAAACAATTTTAGAGATATTTGCCATCATTTTAATCCTTTTTTTGTTGTTGTTGTTTTGAATTTTTACAGTATTCCACTTTTTTTTTTTTTACTTATTTTTCTACTGCACAGGCTGTAGAGTGCAATCACTGCATGTGTCCAGTAGAGGGAGCCAGTCGGGCAGCAGAAACTGCAGCTCACACAGGACCAGTGAAGAGAAGAAGATAAAACTCAAAGGTTATAATTACATAAAGAAGAAATATAATAAGAACTATGTAGAGGAGGAGAAAAAGAGCTGCTTGCATAGACAATCGGTGCTGCAATTAACAGATTATCGCTGATATTGTTTGGAAATAAGTTCTCGAAGTAGCTATAGGGTCAATTAAGTATTAAAATGTTATCTTTCTGGTGATTTCTTATGGTTTATGAGGCAAAAGGAGCTTATTGAATCCTAAAAAAAAACAGCTTATACATGTGTAATGTTCAGCAAAGCCTAAAAACAAACGTGTGAAAAAAAACAAAAAGTAGAAATAGAAGATTTAAAGCCTTACAAGCTGAACGCACAACCCAACGCTGGCTGCTGTTGTGACTTTTTATTGGGATGAACACGTGCTCGAGCAAAATCAACAAGAACAACGACAATCACAGTGTGAAGCTCCAGCATGGAATGAACCAGACAAGCCAACTGTACAATAATCACACACATGCTGAGACTAAACACATCTCTAGTGTCCATTCACAACCGCTACGCCTAAACCTGCTCGGAAGAGACGGAGAGAAAGGAAGTCATGAGGGACGACGTCCAGAGGAATCTGGACTGAGACGGAATGCAGGGGATGGGGATGGAGATGCAGCAGTAACAGTGGCACTAGAAGCTCTGCTCGTGCTTTAGCTGCTGAGGTTTGCGGTAACACCTGGTCTCTGCTCTGGGAAGAAAAGCTTCTGACGTTTGGTTTGAAAAGAAAAAAAAAGCAGGAGAGAAGTCCTCGGGTGGTTGCTGTGACGATGGAGACTGAAGAAGTGATGATTGAGTCTGATGCCTTTTTTTGGTTTTGGGGGTTTGTTTGTTGTTTTTGTTTTTTTTCTTGCCATCAGACATGGGAGCCACCTTCAGAGTTGGCACCTGCTTGCCCCGCCCCCTTGGCGCGCCCGTCTTCCTCCGTCGCCGTGGTAGCAGCCTGAGCAGGGGAGGGGCTGGAGTGGCGCTGGCGTCTCATGAAGGGGAACACGCTGAGAGAAAAGAGGGATGTGAGGAATAAATACGTGTCTTAATCTGAAAGGAGAACAAAGAGGAAGATGAGGTTTCACCTTTTCTTGGTTTCCTGGGGGACGATCGCTTTGGCCAGCATGTTTTTGTACAGGTCAGACTTCAGGTACCTCGGATAGGAGTCCTGGAAACACAAATAGACGACAAGTTTTAGAGAAAAGAAGAGCTTCCATTAACACTAGTGCTGCATTCAGGGGCAAAGTGACCACCGTCGCTTTGCTTTTTCTTTTGCGGTTCCTTATCTTCCATTGAGTCAGTGACTTGACTCGTGTCAACTAATGCAGGACCTTCCAACCCCATGATGCCACATCCACCACTAGGACGACAAGACAGAGCTGCACTGGATAGAAAAATGTGACTAAAGCCTTTTTCTTGAAGACATGGGATATGAAACTCCACATAAATCTGTTAAAGTGACACACAGGTTACTTTTATGTTAATATTCCTCAATGCTTATTCAGACAAACCCAGCATAGTGACGAAAAGAGGATGTTCATCATTATGGGGTAAATTATAACGTAATTTTGTTACTTTGGAGACTCTTATGGATCCTGCTGCTGTTTGAAGCTGCACGTCTGTAATAAACTCAGCCTACAAAGAGCTGGAGGCATCAAACTAAACTTCAGTTTTCAAGTTTTTTTAAAACCTAGCTTACATGTATTATTGGGGATTCCCATGATTCAGACCTGTGAATCTAAAAGGTGTGAAACTGTGGGGCAAAGTGAAGGAGAAAGGTTTTTTAGATTTTGATCCCAACGATGTCTTTTGTGTTCTTTAAATGTTTTTGGACCAACAATCGTGTTGAAATGTGGATAAAAGCCTCTACCAAGTTGCTTTAGGCGACTCAAAGTACCATCGCTTGTTTGAGCCGATCTGCTGATGTGGCAGGATGCAGATTAGACTGTGTTGAAAATAATAAAATGATGTGATTAAGTCTGGGGCTGCAAGGTGGCTCGGTGGTTAGCACCGTTGCCGATTCGCATCCCGGTGAGGACACCCGGGATCTTTCTGCGTGGAGTCTCCATGTTCTCCCCGTGCAGCGTGGGTTCTCTCCAGGTTCTCCGACTTCCTCCCACAGTCCAGAAACATGTTGAGGTTAATTGGTGATTGTAAATTGTCCGTAGGTGTGAATGTGAGTGTGCTTGGTTGTCTGTCTCTAAGTGTAGTCCTGTGATAGACTGGTTACCTGTCCAGGTGAACCTGCCTTCACCCTGAGTCAGCTGGGATAGACTCCAGCCCCCTATGACCCTGGTGAGGATTAAGCGGTGTATAGATGATGGATGGATGGATGATTAAGTCTGACCTGGTAAGATTGCCGCCACAACTTTTCTAGAAACAAGGGTTCTCATTCTGACATGAAGCCAACACGTTCAGATTAATGGAAAGGAGGGCCTGTCTGAAAGGGGCCGCACGTTACTTCTAATTTAATTTTTTATTGTCAGTTTCATTGGCAGTGGTAAACCTTTAAGGGTTTATAATATGAGAGTCTATCTTGTGACTTATACTGACTACATCTGCTGTTTTATGTCCAGTTGAAGATGACTAAAAATAATATAATCGAACCAAAGTTTTAGGCGAACAAAGAAATAGTTTGACTTCAGAAAAAGGAAACACTTCTCTGCTTTCTTGCTCAGTGTAAGACGAGAAGACTGAGTCCCTCCTTTGTGTCTTGTGCAATATGAAGCCAGGAGGTATTCCGCTTAGCTTAGCATAAAGACTGAAAACAGGAGGAAACAGCGAAGTTGGCTCCGGCTGAAGATGAAGCAGCATTTCTAAAGCTCACTCGTATGAGAGTGGTATCGATCGTCTGCACGGAAGCAAACAAGCGTATTTCCCAAAAAGTACTCCTGAAAGATTGATCTCATCTTAAAGGACCATAACGGCCTTTAGTTTATTAAGTAAAAAATTAATAGTGACACATATTTCTGCGACCTTTTCAGGCAACCAGTCGTTTGTTTGGTGTGAAAACTTAATTAGCAGATTCAAGACACTTAACAATAAAGCTGCTGAGGACGAATGATTTAGAAAAGATGCTATATGTAGTGTTGTGTGAAAAGGCATAAGGAGGATGTGCATTCAGTATTCTAATTGCATTGAGCAGGACCGACAGGCTGCACACGTTATTCATCCTTCATGGTTAAAGCTCAAAGTGCAAAGGATGGGATTAATCACTTCCATCTAGAAAGCTTTTTGTTTTCATTTCTACAGCTCTGCAGTTTAAGTGCAGACTGATTTAAAAAGTCTCCGGTGCAGTGCCTCACAACAAACTGATCAGCTGTCATGTAAAGTGTGTTTGGTTTGTGGTAAATGGTCCTGTAGGTGAACCGTGAGTGTATCGAGAACGAAGCTGCAGCGGGTGACTCAGGGGTCGGACCTTCTTCATCAGGAAGTAGATGTGCATCTGTGCGTCATCCATGACGAAGCGATGCGGCCGCTTGATGCCCTCCAAGGTTTTATCCATCGTCTTGCTGTCGATGTTGACCCAGCGGGCGGCTCCGGGGGCCAGGAAGTTTCTGGGGTGGCACCAAAAGCGCGTCAGCCATCTAAGACAATTTAAAATGAAAGCGCGTCTGTTTTTGTTGCTGTTCCACCTACTTGTAGATCTCCTCCACTTTCTCTGCAATCCTGGAAGTTTCTCCGTGTCGCAGCTCTTCGCACGCCTGCCAGAAACACAGGTTCTCCGCTGAGGGCAGAGAGATGCACAGTGAGGAGCTGTCGGCTGGATAAAGCAACGCTGACGCAAGAAAACATGACACACGATGAGACTTTTTACAGCCTGGACGGCCTCTGTTAAAAACCTTGACCCCTGGCAGTATTTCGCACAGTCAGTCCACATGGATGATGGATCGCCTGCTTTTCTTTTTTATTCCTTGACTTCCTCTACTGTATATCTCACTCTTAAATCTGTCTCAAAGTCTTTTCCTTTGTCTGCTAATCTTGTCCTGAAATTAAACTTCCGCTGCACCGCCTTGTCTTTCCCTTCCCTTCCTACTGGGATTGGAAAATGTCATTAGGGAAGATAATGAAATTCTGAAGGCTGATGAGAATGAAAATCAGCTGGAAGTTACTATGAATAGCAATTAAATTGATTTTTTTCCCCCCCGTAATCTAAAGCGCATGAATCTGATTCAAACTGTGAAACATCCTATCGTATCACATCCCACTGATTTCTGTCAGTCTCCCTCACCGCTAAACTCCTTCTCCAGGTAGGTCATGAACTCTCGCCTCCCCATGTTGTCGTTGAGGAGCTCCATGAAGCTGAAGCTCCAACACTCCACTCGGAGACGTGTCGGCGTCGGCACCCTGCTCGGGGAAACGACACACAACAAGGTAGATCCAGACACCCCGATGGGCTTAATGCTACGTTAGCTTTGTGCTAGAATATGAAGTGACACCTTAAGAGCTGCTACAAGATGCTGAAACCTGCGAATGTAAGCAAAGTTTTCGAGCGTCTGCTGTTAAAACGTGTGTTTTTATGCGTTGTCTCACATTTCTGAGTTCATTGTCCAGTGCGCGGTGTCATCAGAGATCCAGGGGTTACTGGGAAGGCAGCCTTGCATAATGGGATCGTGGTTCTGGTACTGCTCGCTGTACTTCACGAAACTGCACACACAGATGCAGAGGCATGCACACACACACACACACACACACAAAAACAGACACGCACACACAGTATTATTGTATTAGTGCTGCAGATCATAAGAGTTAATGGCCACTAATTCCAACTTGCCTCAGGAAGCATCCATTAGTGGCTCTTATAGTGGGAGCACTAAGCTTTATGGGCGTGTGTGTGTGTGTGTGTGTGTGTGTGTGTGTGTGTGTGTGTGTGTTACAAGAGTTTGGGTCAAGCAGCGTCCATTAGAGCTCATGTGTATCTGTACATGAGCGTGTGTGTGCTGACTCGTACCCTTCTAGGCAGACGGATGACTTTACACGGTTCCGTCCAAGGGCCCGTCTGCTGGCCTCAATCTGTAAACAAAGGCACAAAGAACAAATGTATACACGCCAGAATACGGACTTAATGTACTTGAAGTGGTGGCACCTAAATAATGCATGATATTTACCTCTCTTTTGTAGTAGTCACTGTTCTAGTTCTGCAAAGAGAAACACGGCGTCGTTATATAAGGACACACACCGACTGCATCATGTCATGTTCAATATATATATCTATATGTATAGGTATAGACTTATGTAGGTGGCTGCCTTTAACTCAGGTGTTTATATTCAAGCTTTTTTTCTTTTATCACATCTGTAACATCTGTATTTTCCTATAAAGGTAAATGGACAAACATATCTGACAAAAAATACACATTATGTTGTATATAATCTCCTGTAATCATCATTTATTATAAAAATATTTTTAAAAATATCAATGTCGCAGATTCGATTATAGAAGATTCAGTCAGTTCAGGAAAAAAAAGATCAAATACAAACTTGTAAC